TTGTTACTACTAGTAAGGCACTTGTTACTACTAGCGTGGCACTTGTTTCTAGTAGCGATGCACTTGTTACTAGTAGCTTCTTGTTACTAATGAAGAAACTAGTGCCTCATAAGATGGCTCTTGATTCATCAACCCCTTCGAGCCTGAAAAGTGTCTTTGTGATCCAAATGTTTAGCTTATTGTTTCTAATAGCTTCTTGTTACTACTAGTGAGGCACTTGTTACTAGAAGCGATGCACTTGTTACTAATAGCTTATTGTTTCTAATTGTTTCAGAAATAATCAAGAGATATCAAGAGTCTGGATTAGTGGGCGAATCGAGGACCATGGATCTGAATAAGATGCTTCTTGGGGAATTCATGGAAATCCGACATAGGCCCCTTAAGGCTTAATTGTGGAAGACCTGTATCCTGACTGGTCTCGCGCGCACGTCCTCGTCGTTGGTGGCCAAGGCTACATCCATGACTGTCCGGCCCTGGTCATCCTCACGGGCCAAAGGAGACTCGTCTTCAAGCCTCAAAAGCCTCAAATGAGCTCTTGACTTGCTGAAAGCTTGTGGGGTCTGTGCCACTGCTGAAGGCTCAGACTTCTTGGAGTTTGATGATCAGTCTTTGGGTCCATTGGCCGATGGGTGACATCGGAGAGAAACGACGCCTCACAGGCTCACGCCGTACTTAACGGGGAACAATGAAGAACTAAGAACTCACAGCAACCACATGGAACAGTAGGAAGAAAGAACAAGTCCATCAAGGAGTCAACCCATCAAAGGTCCTAAAGTTGGGAAATTCACAATCCGAGAGAGTGCTAGTACATTGTGGCTTGGCCGGGCTAGTAACTGCTAGTACACAAAGTGCCGTTGAGAAGCCGTTGAGAAGCCGTTGAGGAGTGCTAGGAGTCCGATGGAACACATGTCTCTGGACGGAAGGCGACTGCAGCCCACCGTCGGGTCCGATGGAACACATGTCTCTGGACGGAAGGCGACTGCAGCCCACCGTCGGTGTTGGACGCACAGCAGTCCGCACCTGTTGGGAACCCTTCAAATCAGTTCCGGCGGCCCTCACTCCCCGCTGCGCCCGACTCGGTCCTTGATGTAGGGATTCGCCTGTGCGATGATGAGGGCGTCCATGATGTCGAGCGCTCCCTGAGGAGCCGGAAAGCCAAACCCCAAGTGCAGCGCAGTGCTGATGCCTTCAAACCGGTCACTCCCAACTTGCCTCCTGCATCTGGTTATGTTGGATGCTTAGAATGTGTTGGTATGGTAAGCAAGGGTTTCTACACCTGCTTTACAGAAGTGATTGTAGATAGCCATCCTTTCTCTTACCCTGGCGCCAGCTGTTTGTGACACGTATCAGACACTCTTGGGTCGGGTGTGTAGGTCAACCATTAGGAGATTCTGCGGGCACCGTCACAGGGAACGTCGCTGCGGATTTGAAGGCTCTACATGGCCCGCGTCCTTCGCCTTCTGGGGGGGAGGTGGACAATTTCTAGACCTTCGAGAGCTGAGTTCCGTATGATTATGATGAATTAGGGAAGCACCCCTAAGGCCAGCTCCAGCAGGACCTGACAGCACCAGGACAGCCATCAGAGCACCACCAGGTCGAAAGCCCCAAAGACCCGCGGAATCGCTGAGACTGACTCCGTGCACCTTTTTTCACCTGAGGATCGAGGGTGCAACAGGCACCTTTGGTGCCTGAACTGCATCTGTACAGTCTCCCTCAGTGCACAATCCTTCTTCACTGCCCAGGTCTCCAATCCCTTGTTCTCATATTCATGGACATATGGGGCCCAGGCCTAGCTGTTTTCGTTCCGCATGGGGAAAGACCTGGAACGCCAAGCTGGCGTCATCTTCCCGAGTTGGCTTGGGCTGGGGGGATCCTTAGCCCCCCCAGCCCCGCCGGCAAAGCCACGCGCTTTGGTGCTCGGTCAATTGTAAATCCGGATCACCTGCCGCGGCCGACATTTCGTCGAAAAGGTGTCACTGAGTGTTTGGTCGAAAAGTACTATCTACCGGGACTCGTGATCAAATCTGTGAGTTGTACACCTCTTCCAAAAGAAGTCTCCTGCCTGTGTGATCTGCACGCGACACACTGGGCATTGAGTGTTCCGAGAACAAATGTCCTGGGTGCCTGAGCAGAGCTTTCTCAGCAGAAAAGAAACTGCACCGCAGTAGAACTTGCTTTCTTTGTTTCTCTGGAAGTGAACCCCTGAAACCTCAATCCCATCATTTTGGGGTGCCCAAAAAGCATCACCAAAAGCCTTGTATCACCAAGGCCGCTGCGTCCCCACCGACTCGACTGACGGTGAGGCCCGGGGACCCACTGGGCACCCATTCGCCCCCCCCCCAGTCGCACGTGGCCGGAAGCTTGGTCATTAGTGGCGATACCCTTTGTTCCTAGTAGTTTCTTGTTCCTAGTAGTAAGGCCAGGACGAGGAGCCCTAGTAGCGTCCTTGCTCCTAGTAGTAAGGCCAGGAGATGTCCTTTTCTCTGAGGTCCAAAATTTTTTAGGATTGCCATTTCAACTTGGGCCACTCTTCAGGGTCCAAGGAAACTCCTCCATGGCTGTGGGTAGTTTGACCATGTCTCGGGGCGTCTTCTGTTCATGTTCGGTTAACCCGGTTCTTCAGCTCCTCAGCTGTCGAGTCCGTCTTCGGACTCGACAGGTTCTTCCTCCGCCAGAACGACCGCCTCTGGTATTCTTCCAAGCTGCACTTGCCACAAAGCCGATGCCCGCACTGTAAGACCATGTCCATCTTGTTTGCTTGGCACACCTCACACGCCGCGCGCGTGTACAGGCGTTGCACGCCGCGCGGCTACCAGCGGGCCACTTAAGCACCGCAGCGGTGGTTGATGCGGCACTGCTCACCTTTTCGCCAGCTCACCTACCCATGGCTTTCAATTCTAGGCGTCCAAAGGTGCCAAAACCCGAAAACCGGACCAGGTGGTCTGCAAAACCTTTTGGCGACCTGAAAAGCCTATCTCCCAACTGAAAAACTACTCCCAAGCGGCTGGGCAGGTGGTCTCCGGGTTGTTTTCTGCAGGCGTGCTCGGCGGGATAGGCCTTAGCTCGCAACACCTGAAGAATCCCCCACACCGAAAGAATCTTTCCAGATAACCCAGGATTCAAGCGATGGCCTCCACCCTACTAGCGATGGCCTCCAACCTAGTAGCGATGGCCTCCAACCTAGTAGCGATGGCCTCCAACCTACTAGCAACGGCCTCCAACCTAGTAGCGATGGCCTCCAACCTAGTAGCGATGTCCTCCAACCTACTAGCAATGGCCTCCACCCTAGTAGCGATGGTGGATTCAAGCAACAAGGAAACATGGTGATAAGCTAGGATCATCCACCACCCATCCATCATCATCCATCCAGTCTCTTCCCCAACATCTAGACTCATCCGATTCGTCCTTCAAGGAGGGGTGAAGGATCAAAAAAAATTGATAGGGATCAAAAAAAATTGTTTGAGGAGATCATTTTAAAAATAATTTAGATCAAACAAAATATCACAGTAGTAGTAGTGGTAGTAGTAGTAGTAGTCGTCGTCGTCGTCGTCGTAGTAGTACTAGTACTAGTACTAGTAGTAGTAGTAGTAGTAGCAGTAGTAGCAGTAGTAGTAGTAGCAGTAGTAGTAGTAGTCGTAGTAGTAGGAGTAGTAGTGGTAGTGGTGGTGGTGGTGGTAGAAGTAGAAGTAGAAGTAGAAGTATGGGTAGAAGTAGAAGTAGAAGTAGTAGTTGTAGTAGTAGTAGAAGTAGAAGAAGTAGTAGTAGTAGTAGTAACAATAGTAGCAGTAGCAGTAGCAGCAGTAGCAGTAGCAGAAGATGTATTAGTAGTAGGAGTTGTAGTAGTGGGAGTAGCAGTAGCAGTAGCGGTGGTAGTATTAGTAGTGGTGGTGGTAGTGGTAGTGGTAGTACCAAAGAGAAGAACTATATAATTAGAAGAACAAAGAGACCAACCCAGCAGCAGAAAAACAAAAGAAGCAGTAAGAAGCAAGGAAAGGCAACACACGCACAGAAAAGCAGGAAAAGTAACAAAGCAATGAAGCGGTGAGACGCAAGGAAAGGCGAGACATGCACAGAAGGGGAAACAAGAGCCAGAAAAGTAAGCAAAAACAAAAAGCAAAACAGTTGCCAAAGCAGAAGAATAGAAGAAGCAAAGAAGAACAAACAAAATGGAAAGCACAAAAACATAGTTTAAAAAACACAGCACAGTGAGAAAAAACAGCAGAAGCATATGCAAAAGCAAAAACGCAGCAGAAACAGAAAAGCTGCAAAAGCAGAATCCGAAAAAAAAAAACATACCAAAAAACAAATGAACACATTCCGTAAAAAAAATGTACCTTCCAAACATAATTCAATATCAATCTGGAGCGGTCACCAGGATATGGAACGACCAAAGAGACGAAGGGACCCGGGGACCAAGAGACTAGGACCAGCAAACCAGTAAAGCTCAAGGGACTAGGACATTCAGGAAGCAACAGAGGGAGCAAGAGGTCAAAGGGACCAAGGGATCAGGGGTTTAAGGCTTCTTTAGGCTTTGCTCACGGCTTCGCTTTTGGGTTTTCTTCTTTAGGGTTCTATTTTG